TGTGAACAACTCCTGCAAACCAGCATTGAAAAGACAACTACATTTAAAAATGGGCAACAAATGTAGATACTTCCCTTCTCTCTGCCCCGCTCCTCTCTGCTGCCCGGAGCCCCCTTTTCTGGCCTTCTGGCTAATAGCCGCGTAGCCTCACCCCTGAGGACGTCCCACCCCTGCCTGTCGTAGGACACAGTGGGGGGAAGACCAGCCTGTGACGGCTGCCGTTGCCTGTCGTGGGGCTGCGGCTCGTTCCTGGGGCTCCTCCGGGGAGCATGGAGCTTTCTTGTGCCGCCCCTGGCAAGGAAGAGGGGGTGCATGGGGTTTGGGAAAGCCAGGAGGTGCAGGCAACATGGACAGCAGAGGCTGGACTGATGCCACATGAGTGTTCCGTGGGTGCCGAGTTCCTTCACAGCCTTTTGGCTTATTTTTAGTCTTGCTCTTCGTGTTTTCTGACTTCTGTCCGTGGTTTTGGGGTGTCACGGGGGGGCTTGGGCGGTGTGCCCTGCACCAGCTCCTCTGCACTCACGTTGAAGCAGCCGGGTTCAGGTTTGATGGCCACTCAGATGTGGAGGGTATCCGTGGGGCTGTTCCTTGCAGAGGAGAGGAAGCGAGTGTGGGTCCTGTTTCATCCTTCACATGATCCTGGGAGGGTAAACTGTTAAGGTGTTTTATAAAGAAAAGTTTACATACTTAAAATATGCAAGTAACATGTCTTCCGGTGGTCCTCGCATTGACAGCTCTTAGTCGTGTGAAAAGTCACCGATGTCCCGTCGTCGTAGAATTCAGGGGCTCTTCTCCATCATCCATCCTTCTGCCTGGGTGTCAAGTTGATGCAGGAGACTGTGCCTTTCTTCTTGAACCTGTCCTTTTCCTTACTTCACGCTGTCGCTCTCCTCGGTGGCCTCCCGTTCTTCTGAGCCCCTCTACTGTCCTTCCCTAAGGTGTGCGCCCTCAGGCCGGCAGCTGTCCTTGATCTTCAGGAGCACGTCCGTCCGTCTGTCCGCATTTCTGGCTCTGCTTCTCCTGCTCTTGTCAAACAGCCCCGTGTAGGACACTGCTCCCTATTTTGCCATCAAAACTTCATAACGAGAAGGTACAAAATTCTTCAGTTTTCCCTTTGATTTTATGGTTTTTTGAAATGTTACACTCCGCTTGGTTACTGAATTGAAAAATTCAGAACCATCTTGTCAATTGTGATTTTTTTTCTCTCTCTATCATATAACCTCAAATTTGGTCCGTCAGCCCCTTTTCCACCCCCACTCTGCTCGTTCAGACTCTCATCGCCTTGTGCCTTTTGTTCTTTCCCTTTATTTTTTAATTTTTTTTTTTAATCCTCACCTGAGGACATTTTTCCATTTTTTGTACAGACAGAGTGGGAGGGAGAGAGAGGAAGAGAGAGAGGGAAACATCGATGTGAAAAGGACACATCGAGTGGCTGCCACCCACATGACCCCAACCAGGACCGGGGACAAATTGCAACCGAGGTACGTGCCCTTAGCGGGAACCGAACCCGGGTCTCTCCGGACCACAGGCGGACGCTCTAACTGCTGAGCCAAACCGGCCAGGGCTGTTCTTTCCCTTTAAAAAACACATTTTGCCTGGCTGAGTGGCTCAGTTGGTTGAACAACGTCCCGTCCACCAAAGGGTTGCGGGTTCGATTCCCTGTCGGGGCGCAGACAGAAGATGACTGATCAATGTTCCTCTCACATTGATGTGTCTCTCTCTCTCTCTCTCTCTCTCTCTCTCTCTCTCTCTCTTTTTTTCTCTAAGCATGTCCTCAGGTAAGGATTAAAATCAAACAAAAAAACCCACATATTTTATAAAAGTAATAGGTGTGCATAGGAGAAAAGTAGAAAATGTAGGTAAGTAAAAGAAAGAAAAAAGTTACGCATATTTATACAACCTAGAGATAACTAAGTATCCTAAACCTGTTGTTATTGTGTACTCTTCCAGACTTTTCCATATTGATACACATACACACACACAATTTTAAATCTATTTTATACCTTAAGTGGGATTATAGTATACATACAGTTTTGTAAACTACTTTTTTTTTTTTTAACTTAATGTGTAATTTGCCATGAAAAAACCCTGTATGATCAATCATACCAATTCTTTTTTTTTTTCCTCACCCGAGGACATTTTTCCATTTTTTGTTCAGGTAGAGTGGGAGGGAGAGAGAGGAACAGAGAGAGAGAGAGAAACATCGACGTGAAGGGACACATCGAGTGGCTGCCACCCGCACAACCGACCAGGGCCGGGGACAAACTGCAACCGAGGTACGCGCCCTTAGCGGGAACCGAACCCGGGTCTCTCAGGACCGCAGGCCGACTCTCTAACCACTGAGCCAAACCGGCCAGGGCCATACCAACTCTTGATAGCAGGACCTCGAATATTTAGGAGATGATCTTCCTAAAATATAGCTAAGAGCTTTCTTTTAAAAAAAAAAAAAGTGTTTTCATTGATTTTCTTTTTTAGGGAGAGAGAGATAGAAACATCGATGTGAGAGAGAAGCATGGGTCGGCTGCCTCCTGCACGCCCCCTAACGGGGAATCGAGCTCACGATCCGGGCATGTGCCCTGACTAGGAATCGAACCAGGACCTCTCAGTCCATGGACGACGCGCAGTCCGCTGAGCCACACCCAGCCACACTGGCTGGGCACAATTAAGATCCTTTCATGCTCTTGCTTAGAGCCTTCCTGTGGCACACCATTGGTGACAAGATGAGTTCTCTGTTTGAACCTGATGTTGAGAAGCCACAGGTTGGTCCCTCTCAGAGGACTGGGGGATGAGGAAGTATAGTGGGATGTGGAAGGAACCACTGTCGCACTAACAGAACAAAGGACACAGAAGCATCCGGTCCTGCTGAATCTCTGTCCGCACAGTGGTTAAGCCAGTCTGCTAGAGCATTTCTGCTGACCTCCCCAAACCAATGCTGATAGTATCATCATTATTATTATTATTATTACTATTACACTTCACTGAAGCACCCATCAATGTTTTGGGGTGAGTTGGTTGTTGACAGGTATTTTGTTGAAAGTATACCTGTCCCAAATATGTAGGGAAGTAAATTTTGAGAGGGAACTGGACGTACAAACTTAGCATAACTGTTATAACTTATAAACTGTTCAAGTATATCCTGCACGCTTTCAATTTGTTATCTCTTTATCTGGTTCATTTGTTAGTTATATATCTCAATATAACAAATTACCCCAAAACTTAGTGGCTTAAAACATGTTTATTATCTATCTCATGGTTTCTGTGGGTCATGACTCCAAGCAGGGCTTAGCTGGGTCCTCTGGCTCAGGGACGTTCCCGGCGGTGCTCAGGGAGCTGGCCAGGCTGCAGCCGGCCCACGCGTGACTGGAGAGGGTCTGCTCCCAGCGCTCTCGTGGTCGCTGGCAGGGTTCCATTCCTCCTTGGCTGCGGGCCAGTGGCCCCCCATTCCTTGCCACATGGACCTCTCCACAGGAGGGCTCAAAACATGGCAGTTCGCTTCGTTGGAGAAAAAAAAACAAAAACCGAGAGCCGGAGAGGGAGAGAGCGACATGGCTGTCACAGCCCTTTGTGGCTTCGTCTCAGGAGGTGCCCCATCACTTAGTCTCTGCCTGTTCAGTAGGAACAAGTCACGAGGTCTAGCCCTGACTCAAGGGTGTGATACTCGGAGGGGAGCATCACTGGGGATCATCCACAGTTAGGAACACTTTTTGAAGACCATAATGTTCTGTTTGTTAGAGCATGAGTTCTGTATTTGAATCAGGTTGCAGTCATATATATAAGTATCAGAAGGGAATATAAATATTACATGTTTGGATAGCCAAAGACCTGAGTTATAATGAATTTAAGTTGGAGAAGTTTAGACTCTCATTGGCCGGTCTCTGCCTGTTCTCCATTTCACCACGTGGCTGCCCCACAGGTGATGTCCTTGAAGATTCTTGGCTGGAGGGGCTGTCCGTCCAGGGCTGTCTCTCCCGATCTCTTCTTTAGACATCAACTCTAGCATGTGTCTCCCCACAATTGCATGAGATATTCTTCTTATACACATTGAAATATTTACATCTTTAAAGATTAGTGTTCAAAATACATAGCAGTATAAAGAAAGCTCCCCTTCTCTTAACCAGTGACTGGAGAGATGAGCCAGGAAGGGAAGTTTGAGCTTTGACTCATTCCATGGGGAGCGGTGTGCCAGCTGGGCAGAGCTTGGCTTCAGTCTGGGCTGCTCACTGCAGTCACTGAGGGGCCTTGAAACCCACCATGGCCTGGGCCCCACCTTGTGTCACCTGGGTGTGCAGAAGCAAGAGCCACGCCTTCCCGAGTTCTCCTCAGCCTGGGACCCGGCTTTCTTGTTGGTTTGTGTTTAAATTTCTAACCCACCGTGGACTGATTATTTTTGTAAAATACAAAAAACATTAATTGTTAGAAAAATGCAGAGAGAAGGAAATACAAACTATAAGCCCCCGTGTTATTAGAGTCAACAGACATGCAGTAGCTGTATGAACTGTTTCTGTCTGCACTCTGGGTTTCTGACTCACCGACGTGGACACCTCGCCGTTCAGGGCCAGGGCTGGTCCACTGATGTAGAGGCAGCGCGGCATGTGAATGGAGGTGTGCGCCGTGGAACGTCGTGGGTTCGGGTCATGCGGGCCTTGAATGCTGGCACAGATGGCTGGGCTTTTACTCTGTGGGGCCTGGGGAGCCAGAGAACTCTGAAGGCAGGACCATCCCAGCTGCGGACGCTTTCACTCCAGCAGGTGTGCCCGATGCAGTCACAGGGAGAACCAGGTGTGGACAGGTACCTGAAAGGGGAGGAGACTGGGCAAAATAAAGCAAAAACTGGATCCAGTTCCCGGAGAAGTCGCTTTGCAAATACTACTAAATTTCATAGAGGCTATAAGAATTAAAGCTAGCTACTTTTTTAAAGCTTAAAAACAACAACAACAATAATAATAACAATAAAACTATAATTAGATTCTAAAAGGATAACCCACCTCGTGTATTTTCAGAAACCACACAGATCGAAGACCCAAGGAAACAATGGAGGGGGGAGCAGGAGAAAATGCTCAAGGACTACCTGTCCGTGGCCCGGGATGCCCTCAGGACACAGAAGGAGCTGTACCACGTGAAGGAGCGAAGGCTGGCTCTGGCCCTCGATGAATACGTGCGACTGAATGATGCCTACAAGGACAAGTCGAGTTCTCACACAAGCTGTAAGTCCAGGTGGCTTCACTGTGAAGTTGGGGGCCAAACTGAGATGGCAGACGGCCACCTGGGTGTCTGTGGAGTTTCATTTGGGGCCCTGTTCCTTCCTCGGCAGGGAGGTGGGGAGGTACTTAGTAAAGCCCCTCGACCCGTCCCAGGTCCAAGTCCCCTCACGGTTGCCCCTCCCGCTGCCTCATTGCCTTGTATCCATTTATGAGTCCATTTTTACCCTTTCCGATCAAGGCGCATAATTTAGCCCTTTTGCTACACTTGACACAATTTGTAGTGGGGAGGAACGGGAACCATTAGCTAGAATGATGTTTCTGTTGACCACTGAGTTGACTTAGCTCTTCCTCGTCTAAAAACTGACCTTCTGGGGCTCGCTTTGTTTAAAGAAGCAGCATGGTGGGCCCAGAAGTTCCACTGGGAATTCTTAGTTTCTGGATAATGCAAAACTCCGATAACTGTCTGCAGTAAGGACCTCTGAGATTTTATACGTTGCTATAAAATGCAGAAGAAAATGAAGTACTCTGGTCTTTATGACATGTGTCTTTATTTGGTTTTAAAAAAATTATGAAGGTTTGAAGATTACTTTTTATATTTAGGTGTCTGATGAATGACAATAAAGAGATGATTAAGTAAGTATCCACAGAAGCATGTGACTCTGGTTGTTTTTAGAGTTTGTAAATTCTGAGCTGAGAACTAGTTATGCAACTTTGTTTTTCTTTTTTCTCTTTGAAAGTGTTCTCAGGATCTTCATCTAGTACTAAATATGATCCTGATATTTTAAAAGCCGAGATCTCCACGACGCGATTAAGGGTAAGATTTCTTCTTGTGCTTCCACGTTGAACCAGTGCCTGGGCTGTGAAGGTGGGGCAGGGGTGTGCGTGGTCGCCTGCCGTGTCCGTTCCATCCCGATGGCTGGTGTTTCCACTTGTTAGACTTGTTCCGGGATTGAGAGTGTCCTTGTGGTTGAGACTGAGTGTGTTGCATTGGTTTTCTTATTTGCAGTTAAGTATATTGAATCAAAACTTGGGTCTCGATAGCCTGCTCTCCCTTATCAAGCTGAAATACGTCTTTCCGCATCGAGCCTGGTTACTCATTCCTCAGACGGCCTGATATTTAAAGACGCCCAGATTCCTGTCACCAGCTCCTTCCTTTCTAGAACTCGCCTAGTCTCTCACACCTCCTCATGGGTGGTCTCCTGATCTTTACCCCGAATCTCTTTGCCCAAACCGCTGTTAAGGCCAGAGCTTGTTTATCTTTCATTTTTTGAGTCATAAAGACTGTTCTCCAAGTAAATACTCCATGTGACCATTGCCTACAGCATGAAATAGATGGTTACCATGACCCCAGAAGTCCACATTGTATCCCCTCCTGGTCATCATCCTTCTCTCTGAAGGAAACACTGGCCTCATCAACACTAGGTTAGTTTTTCACCTGCTTCGAACTTTGTAAAACTGGGGTGCCACCATGTGTATCATTTGATGGCTTCGTTTGCTCAACAACATTTTGAGATTCATCCCCATAAACTTTTATTGCTGTAAAGCATTCTGCTTTGGGGTACATACATAAATTCTTTCTCTTCTATTGATGTATATTACAGCTTATTCCAGTTTCTGGTAATTAAAAATTATGCCTTAATATACATGTCTATTAAACATGTCTTTTGGGGCACCTATGTACACATTTTTGTTATGCAACTAGGAACGAAATTGCTGTGTCAAAAATTATTTATAGCTTCAACTTTAGTAAATACTTACAAATAATTTGGGGCTTTTTTACTTTCTAATCTGCTCTTAAGGCTCTAAATTACTTTCTGCACATGGCTTTTGCCTAAAATGCTCGGTTTTTTAAAAATTTATTTTATTTAATTTTTATCCTCACCCAAGGACATTTTTCCATTTTTTTGTTCAGACAGAGTGGGAGGGAGAGAGAGAGAGAGAGACAGAGAAACGTCGATGTGAAAGGGACACATCGAGTGGCTGCCACCCGCACGACCAACCAGGGCCGGGGACAAACTGCAACCGAGGCACGTGCCCTTAGCGGGAACCGACCCCGGGTCTCTCTGGACAGCAGGCCGACGCTCTAACTGCCGAGCCAAACCAGCCAGGGCTAATTTGTAAATAGTTGGGGATATATATATATTTTTTATTCCTCATCTGAGAATACTTTTCCATTTATCATTAGATAGAGTGGGAGGGAGGGAGAGAGAGAGGGAGACAGAGAGACACATCGATGTGATAGAGTCACATTGACTGGTTTTCTCCCGCACGACCTGACCTGGGCCAGGGACGAACCATAGCCGAGACATGTGCCCTTGGCCAGAATCGAACCTACGACTCTAGTCTGCGGGCTGACGCTCTAACCGCTGAGCCAAACCGGCCAGGGCAATAGCTGGGGATATTTTTATCTTTTATTATGGATTTCAGCTTCCTTCCACTGCAAATTTTTTCAGTTCTAAAATCTCTACTTGATTGTTTTTTATACTTGCTCAAATTCTGAACATTGATATATATTTTTTGAACAAAATAATCATAGTTACTTTTAAATTCCATGTCTTGATTAGTATAATACCTAGATTTCCTGTATGTTGGATTCTTCAGTATGGTCTGAAGAAGGCTTTTGATTTGGGGTCAATATTTGACTTTTTACAGCTGCTCACTTTTTATTAAGAGCCATATATTATGTATGAAAAAGTATAAAGATAATTTAAGGTTTCGGGCGATCTTGTCATCCTTCAGAGAGAATTTATTTTTGCTTTCATAGGAAGTTGGGCCAGGAACATACAATTTTAATTCGGGTTTGCGCCGTCTGAAACCTGAGTTGCGTGGCTTTTGAAGAGTGGGTCTGTTCCCGGGGCTCCCTTTCTCTAAGGCGAAGTTCTTCACAATCGCAGTCGACGTCCCGGCGGAGGGGTTCGTGCGGGCTCCTCCCGCCCGCTGAGGCTGGACGTACGGTCTCCCCGGGCTTCGAGCCCCAGGGCCCTGCAGCCGGGCCGCACTGGCCGCACCTCCCGCCTCCCGCACGCAGACCCTCGCGCAGCGCCCGGCGGCTGTGACCGTGGGCTCCCGTCTCCCACGCGGACTCTCGCTCACCAGTGTCTTCAACAGGGTTTGTTTCTCCCGGCTTTTCTACGTGTTCTCAGAAAAAGAGCGTGAGTGAAGGCTGTCTCTGCTCTCTGGAACCTCTCTTCGGTTTGGGTCCCGGGTCCAGTTTCGGTAGTCATTGGCAGAGGGTCCTGTGTCGTCCCGACACAAGCGTCCTCCAGTGGCTCACGGACACAACCCGCCCTGATCCCTGTGCTTCTCAAGAACATCACTGGTGGTTTGGTGGATGCCTCGTGGCTGTGTCCCTGTCCTGTGTGTGCACACTGCTGTGACCCACTGACTAGTACCTTGTCCAAACAAGGGAATGAAGGTATTTGTCACAACCTCCCCTTAGTCACCCCCACACTCGAGCTAGCTGTGCGCATCTCAAGAAGTTATTTCTTCTTATTGCCCTTTGGGATTTGAACCACTTTCCACAGTTCTCACCTCTGTATGTACGACACACGCGGAGGGAATAACCGCACGGGCTGGGGTTTGTTCGTGTGAATCCCCCTACAGGGAAGGTGCAGACCAAGGGAGGGATTTGGAAACAAAACCTGCAGGATGTTTTTATACCAAGCCTTTTGGAAGGAAAGGGAGCCCCACCTCATTCGGGGAGATTCCAGGAGATCCCAGGTGTGCACACTCCCCAGGCCGGTCCCCTGATGCAGCCAGATCTGAGCTAAAGCTGATTTATGCCAGGCCTGCCCTGCCCTCACCATCAGAAGCCTGTATTTCATTGATATATTTCATCGCTGGGCGTCAGACAGGAGTGCCCGCAAGGAGATGCTTTCCTCACAGCGAGGACATAGGCACGGGAATAACGAACACGGGGTCAGAGTGGCTCCCTTCTCTCCTGCGTGTTGAACACCCCTGTCGGGTGACTCTCACCACAGAAGCGCTGCCTTAGCACATCGGCCACTGTGCTCTGTGGCTGCGGTGGGTTTCGCGTCGTGGTGTGAACGCCGGGAGCAGGTGCGGCACTCTCTCTGCTGTTCGTGCACAGCGTGGCCGGGTCGCACTTTCAGGAGTGGGTGGGTGACTTGGCAGAGTCTCGTGGATTTTGGTAAACTGGCCTTTTTTTGGCTTGTCTCCCCTGTGGAAATTGCTGTGTATGCTAGTCCCATTCACAGAGCAAGGCCGTGGAAATAGCAGCTTGTGAATGCACTAACCCCTCATTGATTGGTGTCTCTTAGTACCAGCCTGCAGTTTTGGTCACAGTAACAATATTTTTAGACAAAGCCAAACACTAGTGCAATACTCCATTATCTTGCAACAGTAGTAGCAGGTGGCTTCATTTTTTTTTTTTTTACTGAATTAGAGTTAGTGGGTCAAGTATGTGGGAACCAGGCATTTAGGAACTGATGTCTAAAACATCTGTTTATATTATTTTATGTTATGGTCATAGGTATTGGTGATCATTAGGTTTCAGCTTCCTCCTTGGTCAAATAAGGTAACAGTAACTTTTTGACATCCTATTTCTAGTTGTTGAAATGGTGAAGTGAATAAATTAATGCTTTTTTATTATATGCATAACTTTTAAAGGTGGTATTTAATTGTTTGAGAAAAAATTTTTTTATTTATTTTTGTTACAGATATTTCTCCTTTCCCCCATTGATACCCTCCTCCCCATCCCCCCTGCCCCATCCCCAACTTTGTTGTCTATGTCCATTGGTCATGCATACATGCATGTAAGTTCTGTGGTTTATCTCTTCTCTCCCAAACCCCCCTCCCTGAGGCTTGTCAGTCTGTACCCCACCTCTATGTCTCTGGGTCAGTTTTGTTCATCAGTTTGTTTAGTTCATTATATTCCACAAATAAGTGAGATCATGTGATGTTTGTCTTTCTCTGCTTGGCTTGTTTCACTTAGGATAATACACTCCAGGTCCTTTTATGCCATCTCAAATAAGAGATCTTACTTTCTTATAACTGCATAGTATTCCATTGTGTACATGTACCACAGCTTTTTTATCCACTCATCTACTGATGGACACTTGGGTTGTTTCCAGATCTTAGTGATTATAAATAGTGCTGCTATGAACATAAGGGTACATATATTCTTTCTGATTGGTGTTTCAGGCTTCTTAGGATATGCTCCTAGAAGTGGGATCACTGGGTCAAATGGAAGTTCAATTTTTAACTTTTTGAGGTAACACCATACTGTTTTCCATAGTGGCTGCACCAGTCTGCATTCCCACCAGCAGTGTACTAGAGTCCCCTTTTCTCCACACCCTCGCCAACACTTGTTGTTTGATGATTTGTTGATGGCGGCCATTCTGACAGGTGTGAGGTGATACCTCATTGTTGTTTTAATTTGCATCTCTCTGATGATTAGTGATGTTGAGCATTTCTTCATATGTTTCTTGGCCATTTGTATGTCCTTTTTGGAGCGGTGTCTCTTTAGGTGCTCTGCCCATTTTTTAATTGGGTTCTTTGTCTTCCTTTTGTTGAGTTGTATGAGCACTCTATATATTTTGGAAATTAACTCCTTATCTGAAGAGAAAAAATTTTTTGAGAAGAATATAAAAATTTTTACTGCAAAATGTATTATTTTATTTATTCATGATAGATGCTTAGACCATAGTCCCATAGTCTTCTTGGGCTGGGACTGGAATATTCAAACTAAATTTTAAATGCAACTGATATTTTAAAAATCGTATACCCCCTACTATAAATAGGGGTGATATTTGGTGGAGAAAATCTTTGGTGAATCGATTAAGTTTTTACTAT